TTTCGGACAATGAATACTACAAACGAGATCAATTCATTTAATGCAGAATTTGACCGTTATTCTTTTGTGCAAATTATGATTGTGAATACCGAATTTCTTTGCTGTTTCGAAGGTTCACACAACGTGCCTTAGACAGCTTTAAAGAGTCCTACTTCCTTTTGATTGGGATAGGTGTAGTATCATTAGCAATTAATTTATTACATGTGAGTAACATCTAACTGATTGACTTTATGACTTTCACGGATTTTTACATATCTCGTTTTATATGCTAATTCCAGGCACTACAAGCTGCATTAATTGTAGATAACGCGAATGAACTGGCAATATCAACTTTCTATGTCATTGTTCATTTTCTTTTCATTTTCATAGGGAATTATGGTGGGCAGACAATTACAGATCATAGCGCAGATGTATTAAAAAAGTTGTAAGTACAGTAACGTAATTACAAAATTTTACATAATCTGTGTATATCTGCATAATTAATTATTAGAAATAAATTTAGTTGATAAGACACATTTTAACTGTGCGATAATAAATAGTTCATATCGCAAATAAATTTTTAGATATCACGTGCAATGGTATATAGCACCCATACAAGTGCAAAAATTAATTCTTTTCTTAATGTTAAGAAATACAAAACATTTCGGTTTAGTCATCGGAGGAATATATGTTGCTTCATTAGAAGGTTTTATCACGGTGAGAAAATTCATAATGAATAATCAGTGCAAGCATTTAGTTAATTATGCTAATGCAGTCTTGCGTATTGCACATTATGCATTAATAATTCCATAATTATTATTAGTCTCTGTGCAATGTTACGATTTTATTTCTTATTAAAAATATATCTAATTCTAAAAAAAAACAATACATGTATATAAATAGTGCTATATAATAAAAAATAAAAAATCACGATTTTCAGCTTATAAGTATGTCGGTATCTTATTTTATGGTAATCTACTCTACGCAATGATGAATATGTATTACGATAATACAAAAATAATATAATTATAACAAATTGCATGAGTTGTTAATAA